GTTCCACTAGGCTGGAGTGAGGCTGGCGTGAAATTTATACTAAAGGCAGGACGTCGGCCAGAGGATGGACTAAAATCCTGTCGACCCATTATTCTAACTTTCTTTCTCCCTAAATCCATGGAGAAAGGAATTGAACAGAACCGAAACTCTAAATACCAGATCGCTTCATCCGAGACAATTTGCGTAACAAGCAGACAAATCCACAACAAGTGCACTCCATTGTTCAGTAACAGACATAGAAAAAGCACTTGAGGCAAAAGAAATCGCTCGTGCAGCTTTTATAGATATAGAGGGTGCCTTTGATAACAGCTCACACCGATCTATCAGAAAAGCTCTTGAGGATAGGAGGGTAGAAGTTCCCTTTATAGGATGGACAAAAGCCATGCTAGAACATCACTCAGTATCGGCGGACTTGAACGGCGAAACAGTTACTGTCGCCACAGTAAAAGGCTGCCCACGGCCACAGGGTATGGTGCCCTTTCGCCTCTCCTATGGACACTAGTGGTAGGCAGCATCCTTACCAGACTAAGCAACGTCGGAATAACTTAGGCTACACAGATGATTTGACGGTAATAACCAGAGGCAAGCATGAAGGAATAATAACAGGCCGAACTCAAAGTGCCTTGAATATAATAAAAAACTGGAGCTAGGAAGGACTTTCCATTATACCCAGCAAAACAACCTTAGTTCCGTTTACGAATAGGAGGAAGTTGGTTCTGCGAGCCCCCACACGGCACTCAATTATCTCGCTCAGATTAAGTTAAGTATTTAGGGGGAGTCAACCTGGACCGCAACCTTACTTGGAACAGCCATCTGAACAAAACAATATCACGAGCTACGGCGGCCATTTGGACATGCCGCAAACTCGTGGGAAAAACATGGGGGACTATACGAAAAATGGTACATTGGATTTACCAAACGGTTGTCAGACCCATTGTCACCTTCGCCTCGTTGGTATGGTGGCCAAAGACTTGGCAAATTACTGCACAGAACAGTCTTCGTAAAGTACAAAGGCTAATCTGTCTAGGTATAACAGAGGCTATGGTCAACCGGCCCCAACGTAGCCCTAAAGGCGGTTACACACGGACGTGGATGTCTGAAAACATGTACGCACATACATGAACGTGCAAACAAAAACATCAATGTGTATGCACAACACCGTCGCGTTTTTGAATGTGCAATTTTGTATGCACACTCGGAATACTGTAGCAAGAATAGCAAGACTGCAGTTTTGTGCGAGCGTTTGTACAAAAGCGCCATGCACGTTGTTGTTTGCACGTTGATGTATGCACGTATATGTATTAAGACATCCACGTCCGTGTGTAACCGCCTTAAGGCGGTTACACACGGACTTGGATGTCTGAAAACATGTACGCACATACATGAACGCGCAAACAAAAACATCAATGTGTATGCAAAATACTGTCGCGTTTTTGAATGTGCAATTTTGTATGCACACTCGGAATACTGTAGCAAGAATAGCAAGACTGCAGTTTTGTGCGAGCGTCTGTACAAAGGCGCCATGCACGTTGTTGTTTGCACGTTGATGTTTACACGTATATGTATTAAGCCATCCACGCCCGTGTGTAACCGCCCTTAGAGGCACTGCTGAACATGCCTCCTCTCAACCTCTATGTGAAAAAAAAAGGCCAGAATAGGTGCCTCTAGGCTATTCCATACAAAAAAAATAAACCTGGTGATCTGCATATGGCCACTTACGCATCCTCTAATCTATAAAGCTCGAGTGCTAACAGATCATATGATAACATCACTGGACTTTAACATTCCATATGAAGTGATTGTAAATGAACGCCAATCATGGAAGAACGCAAAGCTACCGCAAGCGGACAACGTGTCATTGTGGTACATAGATGGTTCGAAGCCAACGGAACGAGTCGGTCTAGGACCAAACTTTAAACTCTGCTTAGCAATGGGTAAAACACTCAGAATATTTCAAGCTGAGGTATATACTGGCCATAAACATCTGTGCCCAAGATTGCCTTAAAATAGGCCTTTTAAGAGCACACTCACATACTGTCCGACAGTCAAGCGCCTCTTAAGGCTCAAGGAGCCATCAAGTGCAGTTCGCAGCTTGTTCGGGAGGATAAAAATATCCTTAAGCAAGTGGCTGAGAGGAACAAGGTAACCCTGAGCCGCTTTCCAGTGACGAATTTTGACGTGCTTTACACTCTGGTGCTCCAAACAGCTGTGGTTTCACTGAAACGCACCCTACTTTGGGCGTCGTGTTTTTGATGCACCCATAAAATTGCAGGTGGTTGAGTGGGCACTGGAACGCCTATAAACAGCTCGGGACGCTCCAGAGTAGCTCAGGAGTGCTTAAAGTGCGTCACTGGAAAGCGACTCAGATGTGGGTGCCAGGACACCAGGGCATAGGGGGCAACGGAGGGGCAGACCAACTCGCAAACCAAGGCGCTTTATTACCTTTTCAAAGCCTAATGGAAAGCCACGTCTCCGAAGAAATGAACAGATGGGAAAAGGACCTAATGCTAGCTCACTGGAGATCCATTCCGAATCTGAGACAGACATTCATATCTATCTCAAGCAAAGAGATCTAAACAACTTATTGACATGAACAAAAGAGACATTCATAACAGTCGTTAGTCTGCTCACTTGGCATTGCCTGGTGGAAAATCACCTAAAAACGAGAGGCAAATCAGACGATCACTGCAGATCTTGCGAACAAAAAATATAATATACAGAACATTTAATCTGTGAATGCCCCTCTTACTTCTGCAAAAGGCTGAAATCCTTTAAAGGGGTGCGGCTAACACTCCAAGAAGTGGGTACTTCACCACCCAGGAAGCTGGCATCTTTTGGACGAAGCCTGCAAATCACCAACTAGAAGCAGAGTCACGCGCAAAATATCAAATATCTAGAAACGTAGCGGTGCTTGAGCGGCTGGAACAAGCTGTAACGACTCCAAATGCAATCTATAATCTACCTACCATCACAGAGGTAAGAATCAAATAAATTTCAATATTTGGCAATTCACAAACAATACCTACTCGTGGACAAGTTTTTATTAGCTTTACCTACATATTTCAAAAAACGCGCTTGGAGTCTTTGGGGAAACGCTTATAAGGGACAGAAGTATGTACTCATTTGGACTTTTTGTAGCGTCTGGCAAAAAAATTGTGAACGTGATTTCGGGAAAACTTTTTGTAGCCTGGATGACAGATCACAGCTGAAATTATGAGCGCCTATAGGTGTGCACAACGGAGCTGTGATACTAACGTGGATTTGTAGCCCTTCAACAATGTCATCTCACATTTCTGATCGCGACATCGGACAGAGATGACGAATATTTATGTTCTTCTGCTACAAAGTGAAATGTTCTACGAAATTTAAACTCAAGCACCCAATTAATCAAAAACGGTGAGAAATGAGAGATTATTGTCACTTATATCAGGAGTTAAAGGGATACCCAGATGCTGATGATCATTTTTATAAATATTTGCGAATGGAACCATCTACTTTTCAATACATTTTTAGTAAAATTAAAGACAGGACGATGACTGGGCATACGCCACCCGTGTCAGCTAATGTCTGCTCGCAGAAAGAATGATAAAATTTATTCTAGATGCTATAAGCGATCATCCCAGCTAGACTCACTGCTCCGATGTGCACCCTCACTTTTGAACCAAATATATGATTTTAACCATCGATGATAACTTCCATCTATCATCCAGGCAATAAGTAGGTATGCATTACAGCTCCGCTGTGCACGTATCCTAAGACATAATTGCTCGAGTAATTGCTTTAAGATTATTTAGGTGTCTCATAAATTTATAGCTGTAACCAAAGCTATAGAAATCTACAAAATTAGTGAAAACTTGATTTTTTCTGAGAACTTGTAATTTTTTTTAATAAGACCTATGAATTTATTTATCTATCACCTATTGATAAAGAAATTTTCATCAATCACCGCCCGCCGTCAATCACCGCCCGCAATGCCTAAAATCATGATAAATCCAAAAATGTCTGGTCAAATAAACCGTTAAATATTATATTCAATAAGTAAAGCTCTACATCAAATTTTTGATCATGAAAGTAGATATATCTTTTTATGTTCCCTGGTATTTGTCAAACGTTACTTCATCGTACACCATACAAAACCACAAAGCGACAAGCCAAAAAGTGAAAGTCGATTTTTACGAAGCTTTGGCAGACATGTAGGTATAAAGTATTTATACCTACCATCAGACCAGGAAGCTGTTCCATTAATATCGGAGTTATATAAATGTACAAAATTCATAAGGAAGAAATTTATATGGAAAATTATTATGTCAAATTCACTATTCTGCTTTTGCCATCTATCTTACAGCAACAATCTTATGACAAATGAAGAAACAATAATGACAAAAATGTGTCACTGTGTCCTTTATAATATTTATTTATGGAAACCGACGCGTCGATCATTATTGCAATCAAAGCACTCTTTGATTTTTGAAGACCCGATATACCTATATGTTATTATGTCATACATACATTAGATATTCAATGGCTTTCGCGCATTGATGTTAATCGATCATAAATAGTCTCACCTATATAAATTTTGTTGCAACTATAAACTTCATAATGGTTCATGAAATCACAAAAATTAAATATTTTCACCGCGGTTTGAAAAGGTAAAAGCTGAAAGGTACTTGCTATACAATGATGCAGTCGCTGATCAGTGATCTTGTGTCCTACTGACCTCTTAGCTTAGACAAAATTATTAATAAAATATAGGTAATATACAACCGACATCGTTTTTGAAGGATTTCTTTTTCCGAAAAGTATAAAGAAATTATGTCAAAGTCAACAAAAAAATTGCTAATTTGGTACTTTTCTCATGATTGAAAGCATGCTGGACATCAACACGTTCTTAAAACACACAATTAATATGTCATGAAGTAAGATATATTTTTTATAAAACAAGTAATTTTTTAATTAGCACATGAGATTTCACATTGTGTATAAGGCGTATTTAAAATATTTTAACCATTTTGGGGCTCGTCTTTAATTTGGTGCCTCTTCATCAAGCTTTTTCTCGCCGAAAGTAGTCGCAAACTAATTTCCCCGTATTGACTTCCTATAGGTTTTTCATCTCTCTGATTGTCTTCTTCAATTTCAGTGTTATCTTGTTTTTGAGCTTCAACTGAAAATTTAAATTTAAAAATATAAATAATACCTACTAAAAAAAATATCTTACCTTCTTCGAATACCGTATCAGATTCTTTTAACCCAACATGTTTAGATAATCTTTCTAAAACTAGGCTTAAATGTTTTTCAAATTTTGTTAAATCTTTAACCTCATCAAAACTAGTATGAGGCGCTCTTAATTTATCTTTTTCAGTTTTTGCCATAACTGTACGAAGTAAATAACATAATGAAGCATCCATAACGTCTTCCCAGGACTGGCGGCGAAAACAAAAAAAGATATTTTCATTTCCAATTAAGTACATGCGAATAAAATTATCCTCACCTGTCCATCTAAATCATAGACATTAATACAAAATGCCGAATGTACCATTTTCAATAAATCGCTGTCCATCGCAAATAATTCAACTAACTGTTTCAGTAAATTTAGAGCACAAGATAAATTTGTTTGGCTTTTGGACAGAACCTCTAATTCATTATCTAATTTTTCAGTAGTTTCCATAATTTCTAAATAAGTGTCATTTAGTAATAGTTCCAGAGATTTTAAAGAAGTAGTATTTTTTGCTCTATATTTGGCGATAAGTCGTTTCTGGATTAGTCTAAATTGGCCACTGAGCTGAGAGACGATACCCTATTAATAAAACCGGAATAATAATTAATTATGTTTGAATAAATCTATCACGAAATGTACCTGTAACTTATTTATACATAACTTTGTTTCAAAATGCTTATTAACATAAAACAAAATATCACTACTAGGCAGAGATGAATTGAAAGAAATTTTAAAATCAATCACATTATTGTAGTATTTTTTCAGGCGCACTATCAATTGTTCTACCATAATGCTCAACATTGTAAATGTGTCTGATTGTAATCGATATCTTTCTGAGGATTTTGCTAAAAGAATTGCTCCAGCATTTCCTGAAGCACTTCTAAAGCCTATGGCGTTTGGTGAGGATTGGCCATCATGGTTATAGTCTAAAATATTGAATTAAAATTTCTATTAAAAAATTAATACATTTTTTTATACTATACCAGAAAATAAATTGTTTAGTCCTATAGGAGGTTGATTAGTTACTAAAGTAATTTTATGTTTATTGTCCTTTTCTGGAGTACAAGACTCCAGAACTAAATGTATAGGCAACATGGCTAATTTCGTAATCGTTCGGGGAATTCCCAGACTTGTTATCACAGATATTTTTATGCTAGCTTCCAAAGAAGGCACATCTAGAGCTTCGTCTAAGAAAACGTAGGAAGAAAACCTTGTGCTGTTGCCCAAATTACTGAAAATTGACTTATAATATACATGGTCCAACGAGAATTACTTCAGCAATTCTACCTAAAAAAATGGGAACACGGAACAACTTTCAGCGGTTTCTGAACGAGTACTGAAACCTGAATTTCTTGAAACACCAATTGTGCCACTAATTCGATATTAATGCCGCACATATAATTGCTGGCTGCATTTTTGATGTTGTGCTCATAAATACACACTTCAATGTCAGGATTTACAGAAACATTAACTCTCAATTCCTTGTCGATGTTATTTTGGACTGTTACATCTAAAAAGAAAAAAATTATAATCTCCTTGCGCGGGAAGTTTCCACTTTTTATTAAGGTATTTTTCTGAGCTAAAACCCCCGAAAGTACGTTCTACAACTATTCACCGATATATTAATTTTCAATACATAAATTTAAGAAAAATATAAACGACTTTTGAAAAAATCCGAAATTTTTTGGGTAACATGGGCAAGTTACCTAAATTAAATGACGGTAAAAAATGTGTCACATGTCTATAACTTTGTTTAAATTCAAATTTCTAGCTCATATATCGGCTAAAATTAGTTGAAATCGAGTTTGAAATATACGGTGTCTCAGAAATATTTTCGTTTTTGAATCCGTCCCCAGGCGCAAAACGATAGTTCCATAGAAAGGGGAGAGAAGTGGTAAAAACACGGCACCAATTTTAAATTTTGGTTGCTGGAACATTTCACTGTACTTTTTATCAAGACAACGATTCCTATATTCTTGCACAGAAATCATTATGATGTGTTATTTTCAATTTAATTTAAAAGTTCGAGGAAACGTTGAATATAGTTAACCGATGCCTGATGTCATCGAAATTGAACGAAAGTGTACAAAGCGTGTACGACAGTCCGGGAATGAAGATTCCTGCCAAGTATTAAATTTGGTTGCAGCTACTATAAATTTGCATAGGTCAACGGTGTATCGCATTATTCATGAGAAAGCTCATTTTCGCCTTTACAAGATTGATATTAAACAGAAATTAGAGCCACAAGACCATGTTATATACAACGAAAGCGAACTTCAATTAGAACAAATGGTTTTCTAATCAATAGAATTTTCGCATCAATGGTTATGATTAACGTTAATTAATTTATGAGCATAAAACGACATTACCCGCCTAAATTGTCTTAACAGCCACATCATGCAGAAGAGTAATTGGCTTGTAGTTTTTTTAAGATCATTGTGATTAAGGTTGAATAGAGTAGCGTAACAGAACTGGATTGAAGAACAGTATAACAAAACAGAATTGCTAGCACAAAAATATGATGCTTGAGATGAAAAATTTAGAAAAGTAGTGAGACTTTATAGAAAAAAAACATAATGCGGAAATAGTGCGGCAGTTTAGCTAGGATATTTCAACATATTGTGCACTTTTTGATAAAAGCAGCAAATTTAGCACAGAGGTAGGCCCATATTATATGAACAAATTTGGATGTTGAGCCATCGGCCAACTGCCCTCGGGAGGGTAGGGCGGCCATTTTCCAAAATGGCCGCCACTGGACACCCCGAAAGAAAACCAGAAGTTAGATAAAATTTGCTGCTGAAAGTTTTAGCACAATTGAACTTTATAATGTGACTCTGAATTATATTGTATGTGAAATGTTGTGTCATTTGAAGATATATATAAAGGGTGTTCCAAAAAGGTTCTGCCAAACTCAAGAAGTTCATAAGGGACATTGAGGTGGAAAACTTTTGCACAGAGACCCCTTGTCAAGAATGAGCCGTTTTGTCTCCAGATCAATTTATGCTGGTTGACGATCCAAGTCAAGTTGAAACTTCCAAAGATTCTCCTAGATAGATATCGGTCGATAAAAAACACAAACAGCTCCTGATTTGCCCAACATTACGCACAGTGTTTATTTCCTCGCAGGGCCTTAAGAACAAGTTTATATAGGTAAAACATCCTCCACTGCCAACGTGAAAGTTTCGAGTAATATAATATCTTCCAGCCTGACTCCTCTCCAGATTGGAATGGTATTAGTGTTTTCTTCCAACTGACTACAGTTGGAAGAAAACAGTAATACAATGTCACTTTGGCAGTAGTCAAAGTGACATTTCAGTGGTTGTTTCGAATGAGCTGTATGTATGGCTGTATGAATGGCTTCTCGTAATATAGCCCATGAGAATTTCTGTGGTGGGGAGAGAGTCAGAAAAACTGGAACCATAGAAGAGCCCAGCCTGTTCTACGGGCTTGTAGCTGTTCATTTTGGGCAATAAGCGGTTGGTGATGATTTCCATAAAATAAAACCTTGTTTATTTGGAATAATAACGAGATGTTTCCAATTACCATTTATGAAGAACAGAACTACGAGGCTATTATTTCATTTCATTTCAACAACTACACAAATGTCTGAAATATCAAACAGTTGGAACCTCTGCGCATGTCTAAAACATAAGTTGAGTAGTTTAGGCCAGATTTTTACCACTTTGTCAACTACTAATCAACTTTTGACAATAGTTCAATGCTGATTGATGAACGTACCCGATGCTTCAACTATCCTTAGACTATATCTGTCTAAACATTGACACTGAATAGTTGATTAGTAGGGATGCAGTCTTGTATTATCTGGCAAACAGCGTGCCTCTTGCGGAGTTTCCCAGGGATCTGTACTGGGGCCCATTCTCTTTCTAATTTGTTTGCCGATGACACACCCATTCTCTGGAATAGCAGGAGCTTGGATCGTCTGGACCGGGATATTGTATCCGATCTTGAACAGGTCAAACAGCTGTGTGACGGAAATCGTCTGTGATTAAACATGTCCAAGACTCATCTAAGATCTCAGATGTGATGCGTGGGACCTTATTGGAGACGACAACTTCATCTCTCTTGTGGACCACTCCAAATTTTTGGGGCTTACGATCGATGAAAATCTTGAATTTTATCCTCGCGTTCTGAGACTGAACAAAAAATTAGCCTCTGGCTGTTTTTCCATGAGCTGGACAGAGAAGTAGCACGCAACGTATATTTTGCTCTTGTGGATTCACATACCGGGTGGGGCACGAAAAACTTCCCACCCAGGTTTTCTCAGGTGTTAGGTGATTAATTAAAAATCGCTCGAACACGTCAATTTTTGTTTTTTGGGGGACACATTTTATTGGTATTTTCACTCCCTACCTGTCAACCCCTAAGTGAGGATGACAGGTACCCCCAAAATTTCAAATGAGAAGGGGGGTCGAGTGATACGTCATTTGATAGCTATTTTCATTAAGATTATTTCCCCGAAGTTTTAAGCTGGTACTATTCACCCTGTCGAAATGGCGGCTTGTCAAAATTAGGAAAAATCAATGGAAAAATGCTGTATGGTTTTTACCTGTTACCTGCGCATAGGTGTGACAGGTAAAAACTATACAGTTTAGATTATCGAAAAAAAGCATTTATACTTAATTTGATATGCCGCCATTTCGGCAGGGCAAATAGTAGCAACCTAAAACTTCGGGGATATAATCTTAATGAAAATAGCTACTAAATGACATATCACTCGACCCCTCTTTCCATTTAAAATTTTGGGGGTACCTGTTACCCCCACTTAGAAGTTGACAGGTAGGTGAAGACACCAATAAAATGTGTCCCCTAAACAACAGAAATTGACGTGTCTGAGCGATTTTTGATCAAACGCCTAACACCTGAGAAACTCTGGGTGGGAAGTTTTTGGTGCCCCACCCTGTATAAGATATGCACTAACTTTTTAGGGCGCATGTGCACTGTATTTGTTTCAGTCCGTCTTTGTTCTTCAAAAATGAGCAGCGGAAACGTGTTGTTATTATATAGTTTCACAATGACAAGTCCCAGTTTCGTTACATTTTATCCTTCGAATTATTGAATTGCGCACCCGTTGGAAAATATCAGGAGCTTCATACACCAACGACTTCATGTATCCTCAGAGAAAAAACCCAATGGGGTTAAATCAGTACTTTGCGCTGGCCACCTAATAGGTCCTCCTCTTCCGATCCATCGTTCACAAAATTGTTGGTTTGGGTGATCCTGCATATTACGGTCAAAATCTGCAGGTGCTCCGTCATTTTGGAATCACATTCTATCTCGTATATATGCCATAGCAACATGTGCGATATAACGTTATCGTAATGGTAATAGCGTAAGCGTACGTTAAGTGTGCCATTTGACTGTGGGCTTGGGTGGTAGGTAGTACAGGTGTCAATGACGGCTTCATGTGTCACTATCTGACAGCTAGCAACCAAAGCTGATAGTCTGTCTGTCAGTAATAACGGGGCACCTGGGCCTGGGAATTTTTTCGACGCCATGGGAATTTTTCTAGATCGGCGGTGCCTTTGATAATTTGGGAGTTTGATTCGGGCCAAACCCAAATTTTTTTGGGGTTTTGCTTGAATTTGACCGCAGCTCCCGATCTCATGGTGTCATCTTCAAACCGTAGTTATTATCCATTCGGAGCGTCGTCGTCATCTTCTCATCAGGACTGCATAACTGTTGGGCGATTGTAATAAAAACCAGTAAAATTCTGTAAATATATCTTTATTTCAATAAAATTCTAATTAGACAAAACTCTCACAATATAATTATATATTTTATAAACATTAACAATACTACATGAACACCAACTTAATTTATGATGTCTACAGTTAGTTAACTTTTTGTGTAAATTGGGTATTGTACCTTCTGAATGTGAATTTTCTAAATTGATGATATTCGGCGGCGTTTGATTTATCTTAGAATAATATTGAAGTAAAAAGTCTTTTTTTATATGCCCTCTCAGACATAGATTTCACTGTCCAAATATCTCTTTTCGTAGTTCTTAGAGCTGGTAATTCATGAATTTCCCAATTTCTATATGCATTGAAGATAGGCTTATTTTTAGCAATTTCCTCAAAAACATTTAGTTTTATCATATCATTGAGATACACATATTTAACTTTTAGTTCTATTGAAGAAATTGTAATTGCCGCCTTCTTTTCTCCAGTTTCGGTAATGTAGCAATTTTCATCATTTCGAGCACGCACTAGTTTGATTTTCTGCTTTCCCATAATAACATTCTCGTAATCAGCAAATACACCGAACAAGTTATGTAGAGGTATCAGTAAATTGAAAGTACCATCATTATCAGTAGTTTTAACAAATGATGGTAGTGTTCCACCGAACCAGTTCCATCCTGCAGTATTGAGTGTTTTGCTCTCATATTCATTCAAGGTCAGAAGACTCTTAACCGTACTGGTGAGGCCAGGATCACGAACTTTTTCGATTTCCCTCCCATTTAATTCATGTGCTACTGATTCGAATAGGAAAACACCTGCATTATTAGTCAAAATGCATTTTCCCGTTTGACCTACAGCTGTGTAGCGTTGCCTCTATATAAAGTTCAGCTGTGCGTATCAGCAAAATCTTAGATCATTACAAGATTTATCACTTGAAGTATATTCCGCTATGTTATCTAATTATCTACGTCTTCTTAATCGAATTAGAGCAAATTTGGGCGTTATTGCCTAGAAGATATCAGGTAAATGAAAGTTTAATGTTGAATTTGCCATGCTATCTACACTATTCCGACAGCATTGATGGGCCGCCTTCACCGAAACGGAACTGTTGCTTTTGTAATATAAAATCAAAAAATTGATAATAATTTTCATTTCAACAATGGCCCTCTTGGCGAGTAGTTTCATTATTCTCTACGCTATTTATCAACAGAAAGTTTACTTCAATATGCCGACTGGGGTAACAGAAGCGTACATTTGCATAGATGATGGATCGAAAAACGATACTTGGCCCAGTAATTGGAATCAATTGGCTCTAAGTAAAACAAAACACTATGGACGCCTATTTGTATACACTTTTACCGATGAAAATGGTTCTTCTTCTTCTTCTTCACCAACTCCACCAGATTCACCAGACACATTGACATATAAGCTCAGATTTGTTTATGAAAATCGATCGTATGGAGATACACCCAACTGGATGACATTCATTCAAAAAGGAAAAAAATCAGGGTATCGTTATACCACCACCACCGCCGCCATCGCCACTAAATGCATATTATTATGTCTTGATTCCAATCATTTTACTCGTTTTATTTGCTGTATTTTATTTGTTTTTCCGACAAAAAATAGCTGCTTTTTGTAAACTACCATGCTAAAAAAATACACAAAATAAAAATCTAAATATTAGTTTCATCTGCTATTTTTTTATTTATTCACCTTTATGATCAGTAGAGAAAAAAAAAAGATAAAAATGTTTGTCAGCAAATATGCTGCATTCCTAAATTAAGCTACGTTGGTAATCCCTATTATGTTTTATTTTTTTTATCCGTAAATATCATGGATCGAGAAAAAAAAACATTTCAGTACTGCCAAGCTATCCATAGAAGACAGTATTCAGTATTGCAGCTAGAGCAGGAGCAGTAATAATGTTAGAGAAAAAAGAAGTTATAGATTTGGTTGATGTTCCATATAATAAAGCGTTTCCAGTACATGGGTTGGAGGTAATTGGTAGGTTTTTTCGACATTTTGATTTTTTTTTCTTAAAATTATTGTAGGTAACTATCTTTTTCTTGCTTCTTCTGCTCTTTCTGATCTATATTAATGATCTGGAATGTAGCAACCCAAGCGCCGATCTGATATTATTTGCGGATGACACCACAGTTATTAGGAGGGCAAGAGAAATGGATGAATTGAAGGGCATGTTGGGGGAGACGCAGGAGAGGGTCACAGCTTGGTTTGTGGCCAACCAGCTCAGTCTAAACACATCAAAAAGCTAGGAGCTGTTCTTGTCGACGCGCGATATTGACTTGCCGGAAAACCGGCCGGTCACTTTCTTGGGGATAGGGATAGACTCGGGGCTCATGTGGAGCTCACAGGTGGACTCTGTTTGTGTGAGGCTGGCGTCGGGGGTGTATGCACTTAGAACATTGGTGCAGAACGTCTCTGACGTGGTGGCGCGGTTGGTCTTCTTTGCGTGCATCCAGTCCAGGATTTCGTATGGAATCCTGGCATGGGGGCATGCAACTGACTCGCGTCGTGTGTTTGCATTGCAGAGGAGAGCCGTTCGAGTTTTGGCTAAAATTGACTATAGAGCGGAATGCAGAGAACACTTTATCAGGAACAAAATATTGACATAACAACATATCTGACTATGTGACACACGAACATGTTCACTCTCATCACACCAGAAACCGAGACAATATTTACACACCCTTTCACAGAATTCACCGGATAAAAACTGGAGTGTCCTACTATGGCCCTAAGTTTTACAATTTACTGCCACCTTCGGTGAGAATGCTACCTACGAAAATATTCAAAACTACTGTAGAAAACTATATGTTAAACAAATGTTTTTTCTCCACGGATGAATTTGGGAACAATAATTTTAACGATATGATTGTAACATTGTGATCCATAATGTATTCATTTATACTCAGCATATTATAATTCTCGATAATTCTACTATGCTACACTAAGCTGACTTGTGTAAACTTTGTTTGTAAGTAAATGCACCAATAAAATTATTATTATTATTATTATTATTTTTCTTGTAGATACTCAGGGATTTCAGAAATTAGCAGTTTATACGGATATAGGCATACTATTACTTCCAGAGGAGTACGTTCGCGGATTTCATTCGCAGGCGGAAATTTGGGATCTATTTCTATTCAAATACTCAATATCTATTCAAAAACAAATGGTGTGCGGTAATGAAGACATATTTTAATTTTACGATTATGAATATTGCTACAATCCAGATGGTAGTCGTAATCACAGTCCTAATATTTATAAAGGAAATGATTGTTGAGAATTTAAAAAAAAACTTTATTAAAAACAATGTTTTATTTTCCTGTGAAGGACGTAGAGATGGCGCCACCATTGATTGACACCTGTACTACCTACCACCCAAGCCTACAGTCAGATGGCACACTTAACGTACGCTAACGCTATTACATTATGATAACGTTATATCGCAGGACCCGATTTGTTTAACTACTCTCGTGCCACAAAAATGTGAGTAGATGTTAGCTTTGAGCCAAGGTGGAAGCAGGTACGGATCTATTGAAGAGTCGCGATAATACCTACTCATATGTCAATGTCAAAAATTTACCCGCAGCTGGTAATCTTGAGGACCCACTTTTTGAAGGCGGTAAGCGTGAGGCAGCTGCTCGTGAAGTACCCGTCACACAATTCGGTGGGCAGCATTCATTTGATTCGCCATTGCACGCGTACTGGTTGCAGTTTGTTCGGCAATTCGATGCAAAACCTCTTCTTTTCCTTGGCAGCTGTTCGTGCAGTTCGTGGACGTCCGGTTTCAACCTGGTTTAAAACTGCCTTTTGCTCGTAATTGACAATAGACTGTCGAAAATGTGTTTCGATATGAATGTCGGCGAGTCGGAAATCGTTCAGTATAGAGCCGCTTAGGTTCTCTAGTGTTGCATCTTGCGTCGCCATCAATAAGATACATGTCTGCATACTCTTCAAACGTAAATTTGAATAAACTTTGACGTAAAAGAAGCGAATGTGAAGCAGTTAGCTCGCTGCGATTTGCTGTAAAATTGAGATCGAGATTGGGAATGCAATGCTGATAAACTTGCATTGTGTTACTCTGGAGCCCCAACGGTTCATTTTTGACCAAGGGTGTCTATGCAAACAACTAACGGACCGGAGATCAATAAGACCCAATACAACAAGAAGAGAACACCGATCTTCCAGCTCATTGGCAATCAAACCCAAAAGGTAGGCCATTTTATTTTATAGAGAAATTCACAACGAAAATTATTAAATTTAAGTTTTCTAATTATTCAAAATGCAGTCCACTTGCTCATTCTCACCCATTTGTTGGTCCACTACAACTCCGTAAGTTTGGCACAACCTTTTCAGAACACCCTGTATACAAGGTGTAAAAAAAAATAGTGTACCGGACTTCGAGGGAAGATACTACATATGAAAATTTCAAAATAAAGTTCCCATGAACATATTCCCTAAGATGCTTTTTTGTTTTGTGAGTAACGTCCCTCTACCCAGACACTATCCTTTCAGAACTGTTGCGGATTTTTTTACTATCATAAATCTATTATTTTCATCTACCGTTTGAAGGGTTGTAACTTCTTCAGGAAGCTTCTTAAGGCATATGTTCATAGGAACTTTTTTTATATTTCCATATATAGTATCACCCCTCGAAGTCCGGTACACTATTTCTTTTACACATCGTATATACATATATGTATAACTTACGAACTATCTGGCATGTTTTCATTCAAAACATTCACTTAAATCTTCAGCAGCAAACTTTATCTATAACTTCTGTTGTCTTTCGGAGTGCCCACTGGCGGCCATTTTGGCTCCACATCCAAATTTGTTCAAATAACATCGGTCTACCTCTGTGCCAAATTTGGTGCTTTATCGAAAAGTGCACAATAGAATAGTTTACCTAATTCGCTGTACTAAAAGCAAAAATATCATTAAGAAATCAGAGAGAATGGATACCTACATGGAACATACATAAAAGAACTTTTCGAAAATGACAGATCCAAATAACCGACTGAGTTTAATTTTGCAGACGGCCTTTCAATTATATTGTTAAAAGTTAAATATGCATTATTCCAGAACCGACCATGTTCATATGAAATTCATATGATTCTTTGACGTTCAATACCATAATAGGTCCGTTTCTGCAGAAATCACAAACCAGTCAGAGCGAATTTCATTGGTTGAAACTAGTTTGCTAACTGTTTCTAACTGTTTTCAATCAATGAAATTCGATCTGACTGGTTTGTGATTTCTGCAGAAACAGACCTAATAATTAACAGAACAACTTCGCACAGGTGTTGAGACTTGAGGTACCTTCCCATAACTAGGTAAAAGATTCAAGCAGATGCTTTATTTTATTTTTAGAGACCCAAAATTAAAATCAGTTAACTTAGGGACACCATACACTAAGCTCCCAAATAATTTCTGCCGGTATAAGATGGATTGGACTTTGGACTTCCATTTCTATATAGAAATTCAAGAAAAATAAATTAGGTAAACTATGAAATAGAAAAGGTGGAAAGTAGGAGGAAGAATAAGGATCGGGTCCACGTGAGTGGGATGTTCCCAACAACGATCCATCATGCACAGAACCTCAACCTACTGAAGAAAGAGCAGAACCTACAGACATTATAGGAGAACCAGAATTTGATAATGAAGAAAAAGAAGTAAAATTTGAGGAGTGAAACGATGGAAGTGGAGCCGAAAATGAGATAGAAAAAGACTGATCAGATAGATAGGGAAGAGAGTAGACTAGACCAGACCAAGCTACTAGACACATAAGTAATGAGACGAATTAGCTTCTCCAAGGTTTAGGCGAATCGAGGCGGTGCTGCCGGAACCGAGTATAACCCAGCTCCCGGAGATACACGAATTTCAATGCATGCAGGGACGATCAATGATCTACCGTGATGATCTTGCAATGAAATAGGTATCAGTCAACTGGTCCCATTGAAGCCTATGTGTACAGTATCCTGGTCCTGTCTGTATATATTATCTCTAGAAATAGAGTAAGCTTGCCCAGAAAAGATAGAGAGGCTTAAGATAGGAGACGAAAATGCCCAATCAGCTGAAAATGGGACAAACAAAAAACCAAGTAACATAGTTAAGCCATTGTCTGACAAGTTAAATTTTATCTTTTATCGTTTTTCCTATAAATGGACTGTATCCAGGTCAACGATTGATTTTTTGTTGGAAAATTGCCCGGATTTTATCGAAAGTTCTAATTGGCCCCCTAACAACAGTCCCAATTTGAAATCTGTAGATCATTCAATACAGGGACTATTTGAAAGTAAAATACAATAATAACAACAATCCGACAGCTCAAAAAAAGAGTCCGTCATTGTTGGCGTACATTTGGCACAATAGGTAATTTACAGATCTTCTGATCAGTGGCGTATACGAATACAGGAGGATGTGGATAACAGTGGTGGTTCATATTCATGGACAGTGGGAAGTTTCACCATATTATTTGAAATTCATTGTATTAATACTTTTAATCAGCTGTATGAATTAAAATAAAAATACCCTTGCTTTCAGTTGGCTTTGGAATGTCCTTTTTTTTTAAATAATTTTTGAAAAATACTATTTTCATAACACATATTAAGGTAAAAGTGTATGACGTATAATTCTACCGACCAATAAGAATCGTTCACAATGGCTTTTATACAATATGGCTTTATTATACTTCAGGTTTTAATGCTTATGTTGCCCCAGCAACGAAAGACAGTTCCAGAACACCTAACTGATATGTCGTGATTTCTTAAAACTAAAATGACGTCACGTCAGGGCATAGCATAGATCCTTTCTGATCACTACAAAAACTATTGTAGTACAACTGAAAGTACCAACAATTAAACAACTAGGTATATATTAATTTTATAATTTTTTGGCAAAAAAATACAACAAAAGAATATTATATTTTCAAAGATAAAACCACGTATTTGAAGGCAATCTTAGAAATCTGACAACGAGGTGTCATCATTAACTCGCCGATAAATTTGGACTGATTTAAATGATTAAGATGGGGTTCTCTTGGGAATGTTTCATATTAATTATGGTAAATTAACGTTTCTAGTGTTCCTAAAGCCAAGTGGGTAAAAAAAAAGGTCATCAATATACCCCGAGATAAAACTATGGGTCACATCATTCAATAAAAATAATCATAATTCCTGGCCAAAATTTATTGCAGATTCGCTTTTGCTGAAGCATTTCCGCTAGTTTATGTTCCAAAAAACGTACTTATTTGCTTAATTTTAGGTAAATAGGGCAATGGTCCACGAAGTTTAATTGTCAATTATCTTTTTTCGAAAAGATAACGGCAAAAATTAATCAGAACTATTTCTGAAATCTGAAGGAAGACCCAAAATCAAAATGGCGATTGGCGAATATTGACAAATAATAATAAGTGGGTATGTCACGTCACAAATTCGGAATTTGCGAGCGCATGTCTTGTGGCATCTCGGCATCTGATTTTTGTGCTATTAGTTTTATACATCCCTCTGTATCTATTATTTTATTTCAATTATCCATGTTACCGAAAAAAATTTGTTGGTTTACTAGTATTAAAATTTTAATTATTTCTAGTATTGAGAATGTCCGAAAGTTTTGTCGCAGTTATAAAACACCCTCCAACAGTCCCCCCTTGCTATTATAACAAATAATCAAAAGTGAACCATCTCACCGCTGCTATTGAAGCTTGTCATAACCTTTTCCAAATCTACCAATTCTTTTTCAGCCGTAACAAAATCAATTTCCTGAAAATTCAAAGGTGGTGCCACAAAGAAACTCGGTTCGGTACCCAAATAACAACATTCCAAACGACCTTCTTCGGTAAGTAAGACTAAAGCTCCTTTGATCGATTTGAGAAAAACTCGATGTATGGCAATTGGTAAGCAATCAAATTGAGCTGACCACTTCAATGTAGTATTTTCATAGACCAACAGCATATTTGTTTCCGCTGTTATGAGAGTGAAGACTTTAGTATCTGGAAAATGGAAAATCGATAAAGCTTGTTTTGTATGAATCGTTTGGGCATTTCGTTGGAACAGATCTTTGACTTACCTATAACATACGAATGCATACAAATTGGACTATAATCCAACTTTTTCATAAACTTAGGCATTCCATTATCTGTAAGGCAAATTAAGTGTTTCTCTCCTAGTATCACAATCCAAGATTCCCTGTTAATTATATCATTTGTCACTTGTATATCCGTAACAGTTTCTCCTAAATAATAAAACCAGTCACTAATTAGTTTTGGTTTTGAATAAATAGGATCTGTAGATTCATCTGCTGCTTCTGATAGATTTTTATACCTACAAAGTAAATTAAAAGTGAACTAAATTCACGACCGGTATGGGTATAAATTTCATTGTAGTTAATGTTTTCTACTCCTAATGAAACATTAACTACAATAAAAAATAACTACTTATTTAGTAATAATTATTATCATAAGTATTTCTCACTTGTATGTCACAATTCCCCAATCGGAACTAACAGTAATAAAACTATCAGTCTTCACTATGTAATCCAAAGGCCCAGGCAGTAGAAAATCTGGTAAAGCCACATGAGTAACTTGGCTTTCTTGTTCAAAGAAACTAAAAATGCCATCCAAAGATTGAACACAAATGAAATCTCTATTTTGAGAACCTCCGAATGGGCCGACCACAAAATTTGCCGCTGATCTCCGAAGTTTGTGTTCGTATAGCAATTGTAGATAACTTTGGTTTCCTTTAATAAGAAATAATCGTATAATGCGCTCTTTCACTAATTTTTGAAATTGGCATATTTGGATAAAGCAACTAAAAACAGAATTTTCTGTATTTTTACTTTTGAAAAATTCAAAGTCCTTCTTGAGAAAACAGAAAACAAAGAAATACCTCCAAATAAAAACCCAGAATTTATTTCTATGACGTCGCAGCTCGCAATTTGACCGTGTTGCCACTAATTGTCAACATTGAAAATTTGTAATAGATTTAATTCTGAAATGTTGGCAAAATCTCATGAAAAGTAGTTAAATTAATTAGTTATAGATTCAAGATTTTATAACATTTTTTTAAAAATTATGCTTAAACACAATTTAATACAATTTTTTATGTTTAGTTTTATTTATTTATTTTACGGTGCACTACATTTAGTCACAGCCGACAACAGCGCATCCAACCTTTACGTATCTTTACAGAGCGCAAATACAGCCGAGCCGGTCCTCCTTGCAACAACATAAGCGAAATGAAGAATATTTATGTGACCTCGGCAAATCGGCGCGTTTAAAATTAATTTGAATTTTCTGAGATTCATGTGCCTGTGAAAAACTTATTGAACCTTGTAGAACATTTTTTTTTTGGTATATATGCCTAAAATAGTCCCTTCTTCGAGATTTTATACTTAAATTACGTATTTAAATTTTAGTGAAAGAGCCCATTATGTTTTTGTACGCTTATTGTAAAATTACTCTTATCATACATAAATATGCCTTGTTTACTTCACTAAGACTAAACCATGGACTAATGACTAACATGTGATATGGAGTGGAGTAAAAAATATCTGCAAGGAGCCCATTTGGTCCTTGAATAAGCTTATGACAGGTTCGGATGTGATATGTAACATTTTGTAGGTATATCATATCAAATGGGTTTTCATTTTGAAACTTGCCACCCCTTATAGCTCAGAAATTTTTGGATAAATCCCCGAAACACGTTGCATACCAGCAACATGTAAAGCCTCGTTCTCAGAACTATGTAGTGTCGCCAGCGACACCTTGGTAACCAATAGGAATCGAGCATTCAATTGACAAGTTTTCCTCGCTCCTCTGTCGCCAGCAAAACGTTCCCGAGTTGAATTATTTCAACTCTTCATTGGTGTCGCGGCAAATATTTCTGACAGTCGCCATATTTGTTGTTTATGGTTTTGTTGATTGAGTTTTTTTAGAAAATGTATTCCAATTTTGGAAGTATTTACTTAGTTCACACAAATTACCTATTTTTCAAGTCGATATATATTATAGGTACCTATACCTAATACATAATAATATCATATGATAACTAACACTGTTAATGGAGACCTTCCTCTACGAATATTTCTTTTTTTTTTCTGCCTGTTTACTGTTCAAAATGGCTTAACGGCAAAGACATAACCCAATTAATCTGGTTCTCAATGATGTATCATGTATCCATGTTTCCAGTTTTCTTTTACAATATAGTTCTGAGAACGCGCCTCAAATCATGTCCGCAGCATAATAACGACCTGTGCCAATATGGTAGGAGCTGGAGTCGTTGGAGAAGTGACTATTTATGGATTCTTGCAAGCAAGAAAGAAAATGTAATGTAACCTCAATAGACTTATGCCAATTTCAGGGAAGAAACCATCCGAAAATAACGACGATATTAGAAATGGGACGAGAAGAAAAGTTTATGCTTTTCACTTTGCCAAGGAAATACCAACGCTGGATAAAATTTTGCAAGCTACAAGGGAGAAGGAAAACTTATCCCACCTATCAAGAACGAGGATGAAAAATGTTTCATGACATGACCTTTCGCTGGGAAAAGTATAATAGAACGTCTTTTCTTATTGATAGGTCAGACATTACCTATTTGCAAAGGAAAAAATTGTTTTTATTTGGATAAAACTTGGCTGAACGAAGGGCACACCGTATCAAAATAGAAACATCCTGATGAGTTCTCGACAAGCTGTCATTGGATCAACGGGATTGAGTCCACCGTCTGGAAAGCGGTGCAGGCTTATTATAACTCATTTAGGTAAGGAAACTAAATTTTTGGATGAAGACTAACGTTTTTGAAAAATATATTAATTCTGTAATACTAGTAATGAATAACGCCAGCTATCATTCTAGGTTAGAAGACAAGCTTCCCACAAGTACATGGAGAAAAGTGGTGAATATTGAGTGGTTGCAGCGGAAGAGATTCAATTGTGATGGTGATATTAATATGGTTAGAGAAGAACTTTTGGAAATTCTGAGGCAAAATAATAAAAATTTTAAAAATACCTATGTTAGTGAGATGGCGAGAGCTCCAGATATTATTCCACTTGGCTTACCCCCTACCATTGAGAGCTGAATCCAATAAAGTTTATATTATTATCGGAAAAAGTAAATATGTTGCTAGGAACAATACAAAACTTCAGAAATCGAAGAAGTACCTACCACAAATTATGGTGGATTCCATTGGCGAATATAGCTGCGGAAAAATGGAAAAACGTCATAAAACATGTTATAGGCGAGGAGAAAAGCATGTGGGATGTGGGATCTTGACGACTTAATCGATGACGATTATTCTGAGTATGATTCTATCGAGTTTCAGTTTGTGAGATCCTTAGTCTTTATTAGTTTTTCATTCGAATGTAATAATTTCTTTTTTCTGTCGTTAATATCGATAGGTATCTATAAGGATTTTTTAGCGACAGACCGTTTGTAACCGTGTTATAAACACTACGTACCTAACTGAAAGTACATCATCTTTTGAGTTACCGTTTATAACACAGTTACAAGCGGTAAGTTAAAAAATCCTTTATATAAGATTAGAACTAATACAAGTTTCTTTAGCATACGTTTTGTATGACACTTTTCCATTTCATTTCGGGGCTGATTCTTCATTTGCATTTTATGACTCTATGGTTCATTGATGCCTTACGGGGTGGCTGGGACACATTTTGAATTCTATGTATTATGCTAAATATATTTACAGAAAAAATTAGAAAGGTAAAATTCGTTGACACATCCGACGGTAGATCAAAAAAAAAACAGTGCTGATCCACAAAAAGGAGAAGCAGCAACTTTATAATTTTCTTTGGTGAGATGCTTACCATGTTCAATTTTACCAACAGTAATTACTAAGGAGTAGATGGCCAATAACTTAGGATGTAGAACTGCCAACTGCATAGATTGATTTCCTCTTGAAAAAATAGTTTTAAAAAAATATTTTAACAAAATATATATAAAAAAAATGTACTTACGATACCAATCTGCCGCTGGCTATTTGCAGAATGGGATGATCAAAAATCTTTTCCACTATAGCATCGTTAGGATGAAAACCATTCTCGCTAGGATTGAATATTCTTAAAACACCGCTGTGACTTGCAGTAACGATGTAATCAAAGTCCGAATTGAATCTACTCACAATCAATGAATTTTGATCAAAATATTCATCATCTTCGCTGGTTGTATACCAAAATTGGCGTATTTTGAATAACGACATTAGACCTGACTTAAACAGAATTACCCACTATACTAGGAAACTGGAAACGTGCGTTGGCAAGGAACAACAGGAGAATGTAAACACAAACAAAAAATAATAATCAATATGGGGGCCGCTGTACACCTACCTACTTAGTTATATTAATAATTATCCGAAGAGTCTTTCATATGCGATATGCGACCTATGGCCAGAACTATTTTTAATGAGATTATGAGATTCTTAACCGCCTAGCGTGATCTTATCAGACATCACATGTAATAAAAAAAGTTTACCATTTCTGATTTAAAATAATCCATAGACAAACTTACTTCGATTTTTGTAGGAGGGATGAGAGTAGGTATTCTCTGTATGAACTTTGGTCAAGAATAATTCATTAGATGATGATGATGATTTGAATTAATTGTCGGCTGAGATTAGTTCCCACATAACAAAATTGCATCCTTAAAATGTAATGGGAATGTTCTTTTTTTTTAGGAGGAATGTGCCTAGAATGTTCGCCAAAACCATTGCGAATATCCTGAGGATGTTCTGAGAAAAGATTGTAGAAATACTGTTTGCAATACACAAGAACTTCCTGGGAAATCCATTAGGATATTCCTAGAATATACCTATGAGATTCTCAGTACCTACATTCTGAAAAAAATATTTCTGTTTGATTCTAAAAATATGCTTGAAATGTATATTCTCACATTCAAAGAATGTTTCTATGACATTATAGGTAATTATGTTCTCAAAAGAATATTATACCAATATGCTTGAAATATTCTTAGAATATATCTACATATATCATTCTCAATGTGCATCCTAGACATAACATTCTTGTTTGATTCTAATACTTGGAATGTTAATTTTTGCATCCAAATAATAAAGCCAATGTTGTAAGATTTTAACATTTTAATTTTTTTTGATATTTTAATACTGTTTAATTTTTAATTTTAGGTGGTTTTTTACAATACCTATGTTGGAGGAATCGAGGCATGTGTGATAAGATCAATTGGAAATTGGAAGTTTATTAACTAACCATTGTGCCCGGTTTGTAGTTGGACTGGCAGAGAAGGGCATTTGAAAATAAAGGATCTTGCATTAATGCAAATCCTTACGATATATTAAATATCTATCATATATACAATATTTCATTATGTGAATTTCTGTAAAGTACCCAATAAAAATATTGCAACTGTAATATTTATTTAATAGTTTATAAACAACGTTAAATGCAGGTTTCTGTAAGCTAGCATTTTTAATGTTACAAACTTAATTTATTTTTTATGAAAATACAAGTTTGAGGCGATATTGCAGAAAAGTTTATTCTATAAACATTGCATTTGTGAATATTAGAATAAGTCCGTTTCAGTAATTGCAGCAACCTTGCACTTATATAGCAGCAATAAAAAACGAAATATTACAATATTATCTAGAAACATTACTAAAATATTAAAGCGATATTACATTGCTTAGTGGGTTCCTCTCCCAAATCTCAAGATCTTGATGAACCCTTTCGTCCTGTTCAATTCTCTTGTATTATTTATCAAGCCAAGAAAAAAGAAGCGTCGTCTGCGTCCTTCGTCCTAGCGTCCTTGGCTTTTGGTGGCGTGGCGTCAACAAATCAACAGACAACAACAAATGGGTGGTGCGTCTGCGCCGTTCCGAATTCCCAAATAATTGTCCCGTCTTTGTCAGTCAAATATATTTTTGCATGACAGAGACAAAGACAGCACATTGCAAATAAAATCTATCTGCAAGCTTTATGCAACATTGAGAAAATTTATGTTTCCTATTCCAAAGTTTATATTGAAATATTTAGGTAAAGTTTTTTATTCTTGAAACTGTTAACGTACGCATGTAAAATAACTGCATCATTACAGCGACAGTTTTAAGAAAAGTTGAGCTTATAATATTTATGCAACCATTTATTTTATTACATATTTTCAATGTTACAAACGTAAATATTTCCGCAACATTAAAGCGATAGAGTTGGGAAAAGTTACATTTTATAACATTGTTATAATATTTGCTTTACTTACATTTTATAATGTTTCAAATGTAATACATTATTGTATCTACTGCACCATTTACTTGGTAACTAAAACGAATGTTTCTCTATTGAAGTTATATCAAATTTAAATTCATTTGCATTGGATAAGTAATATTTTAGAAAGCTTAACGTCACATTACGTAATAAATTCTCTAAAATAAGGTCGATACAATATTGCTGAAAAATTTTGCAACATTACATGTTTAGTGGGAAGTTCTACAAAATAAAGCATTAAAAGGCATTGTATAAATTGATAGGCTCACCAGTACCAAAGTTTGCCAGTACCGACGTACCTACTATACAATGAAGGAAATGTTGGTTTTTGTTGACACATGCAAACTGCGATTTTTTGAAAAAATAGAAAAAAGGTTTTTCAAAAACGGTTGAGTTTTAGTATAGGTAATTCCTAACAAAAAGTATGTAGGATTTTTATAACGATCCATTATTGTACTAAAATATACTAGGGTGTTCCATTTTAAATAACAAAGTTCTGTCGCATACCCCATTCACGAAGAACCCTGCATATTCAAAAATATTTTTAACTAATGCATTGTACAATCTTGGTTCAAAACAGAGTTCAGCTGAACTCAACTTCCCATTTGAAATGCATTGCTGTCAAAATTGATAGAATTTGATTAATATAGCTGACAGCAATCTATTTTAAATGGGAAAGCTCAAGTACAAGTCGACTTTAGTTGAACTTTAATTTGAACCCAGATTGTACAACTACTGGGCATTAGAGTTTTACTTCACAAAACATGATTATTCAAAAAAAATCATAACTCCATTATTAATAACTTAATTGCTTTGAGTTTTTAGTATTTTTTACATTGAGCCTTTAGAAAAAAGTCCTTAAAATTTCAACTCTCTACTAACTTTAGTTTTTGAGTGAAAAATTGTTTGTAAAGTCTTTCTTTACAAAATATCATTATTTTAAAAAAATTACAATTCCATTAATAATAACTCAATCGCTTTGAGTTTTTAGTATTTTTTACATTGAGCCTTTAGGAAAAAGTCCTCAAAATTTCAACTCTCTACTCACTTTAATTTTTGAGTGAAAAAATTGTTTGTAAAGTCTTACTTTACAAAACAACATTATTTTAAAAAAATCATAACTGCATTAATAATAAATCAATCGCTTTGAGTTTTTAGTATTTTTTACATTGAAACTTTAGGAAAAAGTCGTCAAAATTTCAACTCTCTACTCACTTTAGTTTTTGAGTGAAAAAATTGTTTGTCTTACTTTACAAAATATCATTATTTTAAAAAAATCACAATTCCATTAATAATAACTCAATCGCTTTGAGTTTTTAGTATTTTTCACATTGAATCTTTAGGAAACAGTCCTCAAAATTTCAATTTTCCAATCACTTCAGTTTTTGAGTGAAAAAATTCTTTGTAGAGTCTTACTTTACAAAACATCATTATTTTAAAAAAATCATAACTTTATTAATAATAACTCAATCGCTTTGAGTTTTTAGTAAGTATTTTTTACACATGATTTTCTCGTCATCGATTACCCCCCCCCCCCCCCCAGATAATCATGTATGGACCACCACTGGTTCCACAGCAATCTAAACTCGCTCTCGAAAGCCCTCTAAAAGGCGTTTTGTAACTTTCAACCTGAATCCTATGATTCTGACGCTTTCTAAAATGTTTCTGGAGATTTTAGAGTGTTTGAGTGTTTTGGAGCATCCTAAAATGGGTTTCATACTTCTGAATTGTTCCAAAAGGCTTCTGGAAATTGTAAATCGGTTTTTGAATGTTTTGGGGCATTCTAATAAAATGCTTCTAAAATTTCCAAAATGTTGTGAAGGGCTACAGAATGCTTTTGGAAATTCTGAATTGAATTTTAAGTGTTTTGAATTTTCCAAAAGGATTAGGGGAGTAGGGGGTATTGCAATGGGAGCCAGCGGGTAATGGGAGCCACCACTCTGTAGGGCAGGCGGAAGAGTGCATTCATATTTCTGGTCGCCCAAGCGCTTAAGGTTGATTCACAATAGCTACCTACCCGACGCAAACATGGATAAGTTCGGTTTTGGCAGTTAGTTGGAGTGCTGCCGTTTTAAAAAAAAAAATCCTATAGTGCCACGTGCAAATTCAAGTTGCGGTAGCTTGGCTTGTTATTTATTATCTTTTCGAATAAAAATTTCAGTGGTGCTTTGTTGTAGCTTTGAAAATCACATCATTTTTTTTGTTCAAATAGATTGTTTTATTTTGTTTATTTATGTAAAAACTTTCACTCAGGGGTAATGGAAGCCAATGATGATGAATGTGATGATAGACTCAAAAAAAATGGAGGCTCGAATTACCCGTTACCTACTTGGGGTAAAGGGAGCCAAGGGCACACTTTTTTCTTTTAATTATAAAAAAATTACTTTTATTTATTTTTTAAAAAAAAAATATCAAAACTATCACATTTGTATTATACTTTCGGTATGTATATTCGAATTTAATGTGAGATTAATAATAAAAATTTTGAAGCAATACTTTCTTAGGTGGCCCCAATTCCCCCTCGCTCCCCTATTAAAGTTCTAGTGTTCTGTAGCATTCTAAATGGTTTCCAGTAACTTCTAAATTGAATGAGAAACGAATGTGTGGGAAATTTTTGTGGACATATCTCAAAAAGACATCCCTTAGATGTTCACAAACGACATTCAAGACGTCTTTCAGGTGTCTTGAGACATCTTGAAGTCTTTAAGACGTCTGCCTAAACTCGTCTTTAGGAGGACCAAGACATTCTGAAGTTGTCTTCAACGAGATGTCTCAAAAACGACTTTGAATCTCTTTTCAAAACATAAACCATTAGTTATTATTCACTTTTGGGCCTGGTTGTACCGATTAGTTGTCGTTAAGATGCGAATTTACGATATCTTATGGACGTCTTTTTTTGGTCTTCAGACGTTTAGCCGTAATGCAGCCTAAAAAAGACGTATTTGAGACTTTGTGTGCTGTCTGGGTGACG